ATTTATTCTGTGTTGCAAAACATTGCTACAACCTGCCCCACAATAGGAGTGGTGAGATTATGGCATGTCCACATGGTGGAATATTACCTGACTTAAAAATTCACATTTTATAAAGCAATTATACCCCAATAAAGATGTTAAAAAAAAATTCACATTTTAGAAGAACAAGTACATGGGAAATGCTCCTAATGTTAAGCATGAAAAAGCATGATATACAGTTGCATATTCATATTCAAAATTGGTGTCAATTTTGTGAAAAGAAAAAAATATTTTTATGTAATAGAAGGTCTGAGAAAAGATATATAACTAAATGTTTATACATTTTTTGAGTAGTGGAATTATTATCTCTTTATACTTTTCTGTGTTTTCCAGGGTACATGTTAACTCTTTTTATAAGTGGGGGGGTAAAACCTATCTGAAGAAGCAACAACAAAATAACAGCAGCAAAAACCTATTGTTGGTAGCCTGAGTCAGTATTTATCTACTCATGAATTTGTTTAGTTTTTATCTGAGCTCTTACGTTTTCCCTGATAAAATACATTCTTGATTGTTTGCTGTTGTCTTTAGCTCATGGATTATAGAAATTATTCCTGAAAAACTAAACAAAACAAAGCAGCTCTCCAATTATCCCCATTCCTGTTTATCACTTAGCAGTTTCTCCATCTTTGGGAGAGCCCCAGGTACCCACTGACTTATGTATAGTGGGCTTATTTTTTATTTCAGCTTTGGGTTCAGTGCTGGAGCCCACTGCTAGGAAGCAGTGATTACAATTTGATAAAAGATGCTGTGTGTTTTCCTTGTGAGCCATTGAATTACTATTTTTTTGTCTAACGTTATTGTTACATGGCTTAAAATAGCATTTTGGACCTGGGGATTATCAGTATCTGGAGAAAAACATGAAGTGACCCCAAGAATTTGGAAATTCCTATTATAGATTGTCAGCTTCTTGAGAGCAGAGATTTTGCCTCTTGCTCACGCCAGCTATTCCTAGCAAGTACCAAGGGCTTGACCTATAGTAGATGCACCATAAAAATATTTGTTGATTGAATAATAATTTAGCAATAAGGGAATTATCCTTTGAGAAACAACAACAATCTATCAACAATTTAATCAACAATAATTTAATAATTTAAATAAATATTTAAATAAATAATAATTTAATAACACAATAATTTAATCAACAATTAAAATCAACACAATCTATCATTTGAGAGTTAAAGCTTAAAATGAACACAATCGAGGCAAAGGTATGTGAAGGCACTTTAAAGAGACATAATGCCTTTGAGAACAACAAGATCTGATTAAAATATTCACAAATATTTTAACGTCTAAAGAAAGAATGTGTGCATCTGAAGAGTTATATATGGCGCATGCACAGGAGAGGGCCGGAACCAGCATTGGAAACCTAAACCAAGGAGGGTCATTGAGGCTGATGTACTCCAGAAGCTAACAATTGGCTATGAAAACTTTTATTGTTATTCCCTTGCTTTTCTGGGAAATAGATTACAGAGTTAGTTAATAAGTATTTTGAGTACAGAGAAAAAGAATCCAATTCAGAACCAATTTTTGAGAACTTATTAGGAGTTTGGTCCTGGGCTAAGCATGAGGGTAATAAAGATGAGTACAGGGCTTCCCTGGTGGCGCAGTGGTTGGGAGTCCACCTGCCGATGCAGGGGCTGCGGGTTCGTGCCCCGGTCCGGGAAGATCCCACATGCTAGGCCCGTGAGCCATGGCCGCTGGGCCTGCGCGTCTGGAGCCTGTGCTCCGCGGCGGGAGAGGCCACAGCGGTGAGAGGCCCGTGTACCGCAAAAAAAAATAAAAATTAAAAATAAAATAAAATAAAGATGAGTACAACACAATTCCTGCCCTGGAAGAACTCCCAGTTTAATGAGGGAGATAGATGTATAAATACTACGATGTGGTAAGTGAAAAGACAGAGGGATACCATGCCCTGAGTGCTACTGCAACCAGAGAAGCATTTAGCTTAGAGATGAAGGGAGAGAACTGAAGAATTCTCTCCAGAGAAGCTGATGCCTGAACAGAATTTTGAAGGTTGAATTTGAAGGATTCGAAGGGTATTCCCAGGCAATGGGATTGCAAGAGCAAAAGCACAAAATTATGAAACAGCTTGGTAAATAAAGGAAACTCTATACGCAGTTTAGTGCTGCTGAAATACAAAGAGCAAAGCTGGAATGGCAATTCCTGAAGAGGTAGATGGTGGCCAGGTGATGAAGGATCTTGTATGCCATGGAAAGAAGCTTTGATTTTTAATCTTTTAAGGCAGATGGTCTACAAATTTTCTTGATTATGTACTTATATCCATAAAAAATGTTGAAGATGTGCCCCAGTTTTTGTTTGTTTATACATTATAATAAGCACCATTGTACTAATGTCTTATGTTTCTGAGAGATGCCCCAAACAAATATAAATAGTTTTAATATTTTCTTTTCATATCCCAATGATTTGTTTTGTGCACTTCTGGTAAGCAAAAACTCTACTTTGGAGAGAATTGCCTTAGGAAATTGGGAGCTATTGAAAACTTTAAGCAGAAGAGTAATACTGGTAAATTTCTAGAACATTTTTGCTGGAATATGAAAGAATGGTAATGGTGGGGATGGGAGAAAGATGGAAAGGGGAGGGAGGTCAGGGCTAGATGTAAGGATATCTGTTAGAAAGCTAATGAAATAGTAGTCCAGGAGAAAATTGATGAGGCTCTGTGTCTTCAAGGAACCTCTCTCTCACTGGAGAGAGTAATTTTACTCAATGCAAATCAGTAGATTTAGGGGTAAGTAGATGGGTAGAATTTAGGAGTTCTGTAGTAAGAGATTAGATGAGGTTATTTATTTTTTTAATTGAGATGTAATACCACTATTTAATTCCAGAACAGTTTACTCACCTAAAAGAAACCTCATACCCATCAGCAGTCATTCCCTCTTTCTCCCTCTGCTAGCTTCTGGAAACCACTAAGCTACTTTCTTTTTTTTTTTTAATATGAATTAGTTCCTCAAAGTTGTTTATTAATTAATTTATTTATTTTTGCTGTGTTGGGTCTTCGTTTCTGTGCTAGGGCTTTCTCTAGTTGTGGCAAGTGGGGGCCACTCTTCATCGCGGTGTGCGGGCCTCTCACTATTGCAGCCTCTGTTGTTGCGGAGCACAGGCTCCAGACGTCTGTGCAGTCTCAGTAGTTGTGGCTCACGGGCCTAGTTGCTCCGCGGCATGTGGGATCCTCCCAGACCAGGGCTCAAACCTGTGTCCCCTGCATTAGCAGGCAGATTCTCAACCGCTGTGCCACTAGGGAAGCCCCACTAAGCTACTTTTGGACTCTATGGATTTGCCTATTCTGGACATTTAATATAAATGGATTCATACAATATGTGGCCTTTTATGTCTAGCTGCTTTCACTTAGGGTAGTGTTTTCAAGATTCATTCATGTTGTAACATGTATCAGTACTTCATTCCTTTTCATAGCTGAATAATATTTCATTGTATCTATACCTAGGAGTGGAATTGCTGGATCATATGGTAACTCTTTGTTTAACTTTCTGTTTGCTACAGCTGCTGCACTGTTTTACATTTCCACCAGCAATGTATTAGGGTTCCAATTTCTCCATGTCCTCACCAACACTTGTTACTGTCTGTTTTTTGATTGTCATAGAGGAGGTTGTTGAAGGTTAGAAGAATCAGGGAAGGCTTCGTGAAGGAAATGGAACTTGGCTTGGGCCTAATACATATCCACTTTGCAGACAGACAAACTGATACAATTAGAAACAAGGACTGGTCAAATAACCAGATGGGTACAGATTATTTATTTGTTGTATTTTTATTATTATTGCTTATTCATTCAACAAATATTTATTGAGCCAGGCACTGTTCTTTGTGAGGGACCTCTAGCCAGGTTCCTGGCTTAGCCTTCCCAGTCAGGGAAGCTTTCTGAATGAGCAGACCACATTTGCTGTCTCTGTTCTCCCACCTCTGTCCTCTTCTGAATCCAGTGACGTCTGGCTTCTGCCTAAACCTTGGCTTTTACCAAGGTAACCAATGACTTCCTAGCTTGACACCTTTACTTTTTACCTTACTTAACATCTCTGCTGCATTTGACACCTTTGACTACTTTCTTGATACCCTTTCCTCAGTTGCCTTAAGTTACAGCATGCTTTTCTTTGCTCTCCCTTACAGCTGATGCATCGCACTTTCTAATTCTTCCCACACTTTCTTCTCAGCTTGTCCCTTAAATGTTTTGTTCTTCAGGGTTCTGTTTCTACCCTTTCTTGTCTCACACTGTGCGCTCTACCTGGGCAATCTCATTCTTTCCCATAATTGTAACCTGTGTGCTCACTACTCCCAAGTCTATACGTGTTCATTCACTTCTCTCCTGGGCCCCAGACCACATAGCCACCTGTATGTCACACATCTCCAACTGGATGTCTCCCAGCTACCTCCAACTTAATATATCAAGACTGAACTCACAATCTTTTACCCTTCTTCCTCCTTTATTCCCTGTAGTGGTGCGAAGATCACCTCTACTTACATTCTTAGGTAGAAATCCCTGAAGCATCCTATACTCCTTTTTCTCTTCCACATTCAAATCACTTTTCATAGAGTGCCGTTTCATGTTTCCACAGAGTACTCCATTCCTCTGCCTATGACATTACCATTCTCTCTGATGTATTTTTTTCTTAAAAAATAAATTTATTTATTTATTTTTATTTTTGGCTGCGTTGGGTCTTTTTAAAATATTTTATTTTATATATATATATATTTTGGCTGCGTTGGGTCTTCTTTGCTGGGCACGGGCTTTCTCTAGTTGCGGCAAGCTGGGGCTACCCTTCATTGTGGTGCGTGGGCTTCTCACTGTGGTGGCTTCTTGTTGCAGAGCACGGGCTCTAGGCGTGTGGGCTTCAGTAGTTGTGGCACGTGGGCTCAGTAGTTGTGGCTCGCGGGCTCTAGAGCGCAGGTTCAGTAGTTGTGGCGCACGGGTTTAGTTGCTCTGCGGCATGTGGGATCTTCCTGGACCAGGGCTCGAACCCATGTTCCCTTCTTTGGCAGGTGAATTCTTAACCACTGCGCCACCAGGGAAGTCCTGGCAGGCGGATTCTTAACCACTGTGCAAACAGGGAAGTCCCTGCCTGATGTTTTCTGATTCAGGTCAACATAAGCTCCTTTCTGGTGCTTTCCCTGAAGCCTTGATTTGAACTTGTTCTTTAGTGTTCTCAAAGCGTCTATATATTTCTCTATTATTCTGCCGTATCATACTGTGTTAGTTTTAGGCTTTGTGAGGAGAGGTTCAGAGTAGGTTTTGCCCTAGAATGTGGTCTTTACTCCTGAAGGCCTTTCTAGTGTCTGCTGGTCTGTGTTGTTAATGTGATTTCTTCACTTTGGCAGAGCAGGAATTCTAAAATGCTCCTACCTCCTACCCCAGCACTGCTTGACCTCTAGTGATCCTGTTTCCTTCTCATCGATGTAACATCTAGTATATGACAAACCTGTGCCTTTATGTCCCAGCCCTCAGCCTTTTGGGATCCACTCTTTTCACAGCTCCTTCTCCAGTGTCCTGCCACTCAAATTCTAGCCAGATTCAGATCTCTGCTCCTTGGGCTTGGTGAGAACCCTCTGTTCTGTTTGGGTTCCAGTTTCCTGTGCTGTGGTTGAGAAGCTGTCCCTTAAAAGAGAACTGGGCAATTATGGGGCTCACTTCAAGTTTCCCGTCTCCCAGAGATTGTAATCTTGCACGGACTATTATATTCTTATGGAAAACAATTGTCTTAAGTATTCTGTCCAGTTTCATAGTCATTTATGGTAGATTGTGAGTCTGGTACCAGTTACTCCATCATGGCTGGGAGCAGAAGTCTGCTATGATTACTTGCTTATGTGTCTACTTCATGAAACTGTTTTACTCATAGTTACATACCTAACATATAGCATGTAGTAGGTAGCAATAAAGGTTTGTTGGGTTAACCTAAAGATAATGCTAGAAATAGGACCACCTTGGAATATACATGTTAAGGAGAATCAATCTTTCATACTCTGTTTTTCAGTATTGGCCAATTAAGTGGCCACTTCATTTCCCAGGAAGGTAATTTTTGTTCTTTTTTTCCCACCTTTCTCTGACTCTCTCTGTGAATGGAAGAGCGATTTTTCTGTTTGGTGATACTGGAAAAGAATTCTGTTGTGTGGAATGGCTAGTCTTCAGGATTTTCATGTATTCTCACCCTGCCATGCTCTAACTGGTCTGCCCATGCCAAGACAGCCTGCATTTGTCCAATTGGTAATTCAGTGTAGGAGAGTATTAGGAAGCCCATTTGTGATTGTACATCTAAGTTATGTTCTCCAGTCACCTTACACTTATAAAGATAATATTTTGGTCTCCATCTACCTCTAACTGCCAGGTTTTATTTTTTTAATTAGTCCTAAACTCTGGATGGGAGAGATTAATTATCACCCTCAGCCCCCACAGAGACTGCAGATGGGACAGAGACAGCTTCTGGCTTAGCAAGAGGTCTTCCTCCACTAGTTGCCATTCTCATTTTGTTCTTACAACTGCTCGCATTTGCCCCTGGCAGACAGAAGGCACCTGAACTCACTTTCTTCCTTTGCCCCCACCTTTTAGTTGTACTTCGAGGGCTGTAGCCCCTGTTGTACCAGTCAGACCAAGTGGTATCTTTTGTCGTTGAAGAGAATAATATATTTTGAACATGCATCAGTCTTATCTTTAGGAGAAAAGCATTTTCCAGAGAGTTTTTGGGTGGCATTATATCCCTGCTCTTCTTGTATCTGCTGGGCACCTCATTTAAGGTGGATGACTAATGGAATACACCTCATAGCGATGAGCCTTCCGCAGGAACTTTCTCCTGCCAAACTGTCTTATATTCTTAACTACATTGCACTACAGGAAGGTAATAAATTATTAATCCTAAATCTGTCTCCTCAGATTGTGATAATGACTTGAGTACATCGCAGCTGGGGGAGGTAGAGTTTTCTGGTCGTTAACATAAACCATGCAAGCTTTTTGATTCTAAAATTCAGCTAGCGTTGAGCAAATCTATGGGATCTTTTTATATCACAATTTAATTGACTTCGGTAAGACCAATCAGAATTATCTAAAGTTAGCTTCTCTCCCAATGAAATGAAGTAATTGTCTCTTGCTTAAATACTCTTCAGTAAAAGATAATCATCTTAAGTCCTTCTCTCTAGCTAGGAAAACTGTAATTTTGGTGGGTTCTTTTTGCCCTTTAGAAACATTATGCAAACACAGACTTACTTCCTAACTTGTGTGATAAAGTGAAGAGGGTTAAGAAAATGGCATAATTGGGCAGTAAATCCAGTTCAATTTAAAAGCTGTCTTAAATTGACTCTCCTTAGGAATTCCTCAGAGAGGAAATAATACAGTAGTGGAGGAATTTATAAAAACAGAATAATTGCAGGACCAAAGCAAGGCCTTGGTCCAGACATTGTGTGAAATCAGCAGGAACATGATCAAGACTATGTGTGTGGTTACTCTTTGGACATCTATTCTCAGGTGAGTAGTATTGAACAGTTTGGGTTAAAATGCACAGCTCTTGGTTTGAGGGCCTGCCCTTTGAACTTTCTTTCTGATCCTCCATCCAAGAGCTTCCGTAAGAAAAGTCAGCCTGTGTGGTTAAGATCCTTTAACCACTTTTGATTCCAGACACTACTGGATATGTTTTAGAGAGAAGTTGTAAGAATTGGTCTTGACCACCTACCTAGTTCATCACCTGAGCAAGAAACAGGAGGCAGAGTGGCCAAGAGCATGGAGCATGGACTCAGGAGTCAGACACGCCTGTATCTGAGTCCTGGTTCTATTATATACTGGGTGGTATTACTGAAACCCACCTCTCATCAGGTTTCTCATCTACAAAACAAGAATGACAGTACCTCTGATAGGATTGTTACGAAGATTAAATGAAATGTTCACACAAAGTGTTTAGCCTACTCCCAGGTGCATAAATAACAATTCAGCAAATGTTAGTAGTAGTCATTATGATGTGATGACATAAAATCCTGTTTGGTTAGACTCTTGTCTTATCCCAAGATGACCCCGTAGGCAGTAGGTTTGAGGTCTCTGCTGGCTTCTTAAACCTCTGTCCAGTGGGATGTCAATCCCCACATTTTTTTAAAGTATACTGTAGGCAGCTGGCCTTTCTGCATTGTCAGGAGAAGTAGGCCTCCATTCAGGCCTGAGGTTGGTTGAAGCCCATGACAGTGTGGGCTGTGTTGTGCATCTCCTGTAATTGTAACATGCCACTAAGGAGCACGACTGCTTGTTGGCTACTTGTTTCCTCCTTCAGCCAGGGATACTTTTCCTCTGGAAGAGGACTTTGTTCTGCTGCCATGACACCATCTGGCCCTCAGCCCTGGTTCACTTCCCCCAACACTGATGATATGCCCATGTTTGGCAAACTCTTGTGCTAGGCCAGATTGGCTTTGTCTTTTAGTCAGGGCAGTGTTTTGCCTGGGGCTACTTCAATAGCATTTTTTGGATTTTATGTCAGAAGTAGCTTGCAGAGTTAGTTCCTTCCATCAAAATGTATTTATTGGGTGCCTACTATCTTAGGCATTAGAAATGCAGTGGTAAGACAGACATGGTCTCTGCCCTCTTGGGGCTTGCAGTCTAGTGATTCCTTAGCCATTACTAGGGAACAGAAGTTCTCTTCAAGAGGGATGATGTTACTGGTATCAAGGTTCCCTTCAAAGAGACTGAGAGTCTCAAGGTAATTCAATGACAGGAGAGACCCAGTTTTACTTGCAGAATCCTAAGAGACTAGGGAATTTGATGTCTCAAGCTGGTCTCAATAGAGTAACCATCTGCTAAGAATTATGTAGGTGAGTCCCCTGTCTATTAATGCAGTATATCCAGCTTTCCTTTCAATCCAGCCCACTCTTGCCACCATTAATAACCCACATCCCTGAATAAGCAGCGAGGGTGGTTATCTGGAGATTTGGAAAAAGTGCGACAGCTGCAGCCCTTGCCCCAATTTGGAAGTATATGTGTGTCCTCTGGTGATTTCATGGGTATTAGATATACCCAGTCAGTCAGCTCTTGAAACTCTTTTTTACATCAGGTTTGTTACTTTAGGCCCTCAGGTGAACAGTTCCAGTGCAAGGCAAGCACCAAATTATATAAATTTTTAACTTCTCTGGTCAGTCACAAAAGGAAACTGTAAAATACCCTGAGATGAGATGGAATTATGAATGTCCCTGAATGATGAGTTAACTGTCACAGGCGCTGTTCTAGGAGAAACAAAAGCAGAGAGGAATGCTGGCCAAGGCCTATCCAGCTCCACCAACTGCAGACTCTGCCCCTGAAGATGGACGCCTAGTGTAGCTCATCCCATTTCTCCTTTTAAAACTCTCCCAGCAAATGACAGGATTTTTAGGAATGCTTTCTTTCTTCCAACTGGCTTAAACGTTACGCTTTGATTCTAATCGAGCAGCAATTTAAAGTAAAAGCTTATGGATTCTCTCACTTTTAGGTAATAAAGGGAATCACTCGTATTACCAGACGTGGGAGATGGGAAGTTTGTATTGATTTGATTTTACTTCTGTACTCTAATTTCAGATTTAGGTTTAAAATTTTAAAGGGACTGCCATTCTGCCTATTAAGAAAGGGTTCCTCTGTTTTTTTTGTTTTTGTTTTGTTTTTTGTTTTTTGTTTTTTTTATACAACTCAGTGCTTATTGTCCTTAACTGTGGGCAACCTGAGTCAGCTGGAAGCTTATGGAAATAGACCTGGTAGAATGAATGAGTCTTAATCAGAATAAATGAAGCAACCTTGTAGAGAGAAGCTGAAGAGCTAGGTTCCACCTGAGAAAGTTGCATCCTGCTGGGTCAGTCTGTGGCTTTTGGCCTGAAGGAAAACAGCCCCCTGTGCTGAAGCAGTGCCAAGCTTCTCTTCTGCCTGTGCATTCTACTTCTTCCGTCTCTCTGGCTGCTCTAGCTTGCTTCCTTCCTCCCTCCCTCCCTCCCTCCCTCCGTCCCTTCCTTACTCTTTAACCCTTTCTTTTTTGATTTTAAAAGTCACACATGCTTAATGTAGAAAGTTTAGGAAACGATTATTCCAGATAGAAATAACTACATCCTGCGAATCCCATTGCCAGAGATGACCACTGTGAACCTGAGGCTGTAGTTTCAGGCGTATCGCTGAGGAAGTTCTGTTTGTGAGAGCTTGCTTGCTCTGCTCAGTTACTGGAGGCCGCAGTGGCACCAGCCATCTCTGGACCTGGTAGAAGGGAGATACTCTGTTCTTGCAAAGGCCCTGTCCCAGCCTGACAGAAGCTCCTGGCTCTTCCTGTCTAACTGCTTGGTTTTCAAAATTGCTCTCAGCTATGCTCCCCAGAGTATGTGTATAAGCTGCACCCTGACATTT